AACATTAGGTAAATAAAACCAGAGAACTTCTACAAAATATCAAATTTATTAATTATCTGATGCTAGTAAAAAGATTGGCAACTGTGTCCCTAGATCAGTATTCCTAATTTTAGAAGTCAACACCACATCTTTCACTATACTGTAAAATGGGGCTTCTCTTCAAAAAAGCATCTTCATACAACCTCATAAATTATTTCTCATAAGAATAGTATTGCTTAGGGGAACATAAAGGCTTACCTCTTTCATATTTAAGTTCACAAACACAGTTAAATTTTGATAAGCAAACGTTATCCCTTAAGAGACAAGATTTCATTTTCTTTCTCTAAGCAAAAACAGAGTATTTTGAAAAACTCCTGTTTTGTTTAATAAAGGTAGATTCTCTATAAATTGTGTTTGGTTGAAAATACTTGCAAATTTCTTTAAAAAATGTTGGAACTTATGCTTACTTGTGATTTATATATCCAATTGGTCTGATTTCTAATCTTGACTACTGACCCTGTTTTCCTATATGTGGTTATTCAAAAGAAAGTTTAAATTTCTTTTTAGTTCTAGGCAGCAGAATTGAAACTGGTTGTACTATTAGAAGCGGGCAGAAACTTATGGAACAAGTAGAGGTGAGGAAGTTCAAGACACCATGACATATTCTAGAGTGCTTTGCATTGACTGGGGAGAGAAGCAGCCTCCCTCCGTTTTACACATTACTTATTTTGCATAAAAACGTAGAATAACCAAAATGATGGGTTTAAATTTAAACAGACATTCTAGAAGGGATATAAAGTCTTTTCTGTACTTACAGGTAAGCCAGGTGGACCCACGGGTCCTGGGACCCCAGGAGGACCTGGATATCCCTATAATTTGAATAAAATATAAGAGACATAAATTCTCCATTATACCTAATTATTTTCATTAAAGAAAAATCAGTAAATTATAAGTAGTAATAAAAAGTGATGATCTGATAAGATCTTTCTCTCTTATCCTAGATGTAAGAGGCTATAGGAAATGTTCCACAGATAAACAATAGAAATAAAAATAATAATTACATAAAAGCTGTGTATCCTTTTATTAGAAATTCTTTGCATGGAAAAGAAATTGACTAGCCAGAATCACATATTATCACCTATAGAGAAGAGAATATTCATTTATCTTCTGAAGTTTATGTTATATAGATTATGAAATCACATGATTTTCAGAGGTCATGGAATTTAATAATTAATGAGTGCCAATATGTACAAATATTCTGGCTACCCAATTTTAGGAGGACCATACCCTCTATGGTATTGATACTGATTCAGCGAGTGTTTTAGGAGGCAATAATTCCTAAAATTGATTAATTTATGGGTATGTTAAATTTCCTAGCTGACAACAACTGGAGATAGTTTTGAAAAACAACAAAAACCCCTATACTGCTTTTCTGATAATATAAAAGTCAAAACACTAAAGAGTAACTTCGGTAAAATAAAACTGTAGACAGCATTATGTGCCATTATGTTTTCTGAAAACAAGATTCTTCTATTGATAATAATCATTTGTTCTAGTTTCTGTCACACTTAAAAATATCTGACCAAGCCATCTGATTTGAAAGATTTTTACCTTTCATACAGCATTCTAAAAGGTAAACTGTTTAAAGAAGAAGAAAATTCTAATGGTAATTTTCTATAAAATAGTATTTTTCATTTACTTATATTGCATCCAAGATAATTCTACCTCTGGAATGCCTCAACTTAATGTTCTTTGGAAACATATCTTTCAAATCATTGAGCTCTTACCATAGCACCCTTCTCTCCCTGGGGACCTACTGGGCCTGGACTTCCACGCTCTCCCTTTTAGTACAAAGAGAGAAGAGAAACATTGAGGCAGGTTAATTAGTCACGACTGAGCTACACCTAGACAGAAAAATTGTCCATTCGAATCATAACTTACATGCATACATTATTCTGATTTCTAATATTTTTTTAAATTTAAAAAATTTGCATGTTAAGCAAAAATTTAAAACTTAGAACATATAGGGTGGGAAGAGATCAATCAATGAACTTGTATGCATTGATGCATAACCTGTGGACACAGACAATAGGGCGGTGAGTGCCTCAGGAAGGTACTGGAGAGGGCTGGAAGAGGTTAATGGGAGAAAAGGGAAATCTATGAAATACTTTCAACAATAAAGATTAAAAAAATATATATAGGTGTCCCCCCAAAATGTAAATACACTTTAACAGCTGATAACTCACTTAATTTTCACTTCTTTTCTGGTTTAACTGATTTGAAATAATGGGTGAAGCCAGACTAAATTTTGAATAAAGAAAATTTAGCCTAAAGTGCCACTAGACTTTCTTTTTCTTAGGGATACATAAGATAAAGTTTATGGTACAAAACCAGCAACAGTCAATGGATTGAGGATGCGCAAATACCAAATGAAATGATTCTTGATGTTTGTGATTTCATTGCTGCACATTATCAGCAGTGCCTGGAGCAGAATGGTCATTGGTTTGAAGACAGGCATTGAGCAAAATAAATTATTCATTTCTGTAGATTCTTTTAAAAATTAAAAATGAACTGTATGTTAACAAACACTGACTTTATAATCATTCAAAGTGCAAACACATTTTGGGGACACCCTATATATGTTATTAGCTATATTTCAAAATATTTAAAAGATTCAGTATAGGTAATGTGTTTGAAATTAGGAGTGATTTCTAATTAACATTAAATATATCATATGAATGCCTATCCTTTGAGTATAGCTTAGCAGTCTCACTACTGAACAAAAATGAATGTCTAATGTGTGACAGGCCCTGTGTTGAAAGGCACTGAGTTTTAAATTCAAACATAGTCCCTGTCTTTGTGGAATTTATAATCCAGCAAATTTTATAAAAAGTGATGTATTCACAGCTTTTCTTTTTAAATTGATGTATAACTGACATAGAATATTAATTATATTAGTTTCAGGTGTACAGTGTAATGATTCAATATTTGTATACATTGTAAAATTATCACAGCAATAAGTCTAGTTACTATCCATCACCACACAAAGTTACAAAATATTTTTCTTGTGATGAGAACATTTACTCAGCTACTTTCAATTATGCAATGCAATATTATTGAATATAGTCACCCTGTCATACATAACACCCCCGTGGCATTTATTTTATGATGGGGTGTTTGTACCTCTTGACCCCCTTCACCCATGGGACTCAGACAACCAAAGAGGCAATTCTTCACAGGCTACTACCCCAGAACACTGCACAGACAGCAGGCTGAAACCCAGTCTTCCTGTGACAGGGCCTGTTTACTTGTCCTGGAGCTTTGCCATCAGGGACAGGTTTCACGTTTGCCACCCATCCAGAGGCTATAGAGCTGTTGCAGGAAACATAGCCCAGGGGACACCAACTTTGCATTCTCACTTGGCCTTGCTACAGTTCACTGATACCACCCAGAAAGGAGCTTCTACACTCATGTGGAAGCCCAATTTTTGCAACTGTTGCCTCGGGATACCTCCAGATCCCCTGGTCTGGAGGCCAGCAGGATTTGTCACTGTGGTTTCATAGGACCACATATTTTTGCAAACCGTGAAGGCTGCTGCCTGAGAGTGGCTTCCAATCAACTTGAAACTATGTGCTGATTGAGGCCCCTCCCTTTGGAACACTAAGAGGTCTTGGCACACTTTCAGCAGCTGGGACTGATCAAGAGTAAATCAGGGTGCTGAGATCGATAAGCAGGAGGGTTCTGCAGACAACTGAGAGCTAAGGCAAGCTGAACAGTAAGTGTATCTCCGACACACAGCTACTCCTTCAAGACTGGAGTGGTAGCTCTTTAGCCTAATACATAAAAACAAACACAGAGAGTCAAGTAAAATGAAGAAACAGGAATATGTTCAAATGGGGGAAAAAGGAGACATATGTAATATTTTCAACAATAAAGATTTAATTTAAAAAAAGGAAAGAAGAAGATAAAACTCTAGGAGGAAACTTGATGAAATGGAAATAAGTAATTTATCTGATAAAGAGTTTAAAGTAAGGGTTACAAACTTGGGAGAAGAATGGATAAACACAGTGAGCACTTCAACAAAGAAATATCCTATCAAATAAAGTGGGAATATGCTAATTGACCTTCACCCCATCATAAAGATGGAGGCGCCCACAGCCAATAAGGAGGGAATATGCTAATTTACTGCCACACCTTCAAAGATGGTGGCACCGACAGCCACAAGATGGCCAGCAGGGGAGGGCAGTTGTGGGGGACCAGCCCAGCAGGGGAGGGAAGTTGGGGGCGACCGGACCAGCAGAGGAAGGCAATTGGGGGCCATGAGGCCAGCAGGGGAGAACAGTTGGGGGTGACTGGGCTGGCAGGGGAGCAGTTAGGCATTGATCAGGCTGGCAGGAGAGTGGTTAGGGGGTGATCAGGCTGGAAGGCAGAAGCAGTTAGGGGCAATCATGCAGGCAGGCAGGCTAGCAACGGAGCCAGCAGTCCCAGATTGTGAGAGGGGCCTAAACTGGCAGTTGGACATCCCCCAAGAGATCTCAGATTGGAGAAGGTGCAGGCTGGGCTGAGGTACACCCCCCAGTGCACGAATTTCATGCACTGGGACTCTAGTGAAATATAAGAAAGCATCAAGCAGACCTCACATAGCTGGCATAAAAAGCATGGAACTATTTCTGGTTTAGGTCACAAATCAACCTGTTCAATAATTGCAAAATAATATGAAGAAAATTACATTAAACACATATTTATTTGCCCATCTAATAGACCCTGGATGATGGGTAAATATACAAAGGAGTTCATAATCTAATAAGTTAGGTAAGGTAAATTGCATATTTTATGTAAGTTAAGAGAAGAAAAAGTAAAATGCTATATAATGCAAAGGCAGGGGATATTATATCCTGTTGAGAACATAAGGAAGGGCTTTACAGAGAAGGCAGTATTTGAGGCATGGCTTACTGTTGACGAGATGAAATGTTGGAAGTATATTCAAAATGGAATGATTTGAACAGGAGGTGGGAGGTAGCAAATGGTAAAACACTTAGCAAACATAAAACAAATCCAGATTGTTTGAGATACAGAATAAGTACAAGAAAGAGACTGATATAAACATATTGGTGATGTGCTATTAAGGGTTTTGAATATCAAATGAGAAATTTGTGTTATTTACGGAAGAATCTGTCTTTGTAGAAAAACGATTGCTGGTTTGAATAAAGGAGGAATGACAAGGCTGTATTCACTGTGTAGAGATGAGAAGAACAGAAAATGGGTATGTAGTCAGAAGCAGTCCAGGTTAAGTGTAATGACTCTTAAGACAATGGTATTACAATGAAAACAACACTTCAAGGGAGAGGCCAGTGTTAAATAAAAGATGAATAATTAGCCATGAGACAGTTGTGATTCTTAAGAGTCTATCTTGAACTATTACTTCATAAGTCCATAGAAAAATCGTAATGAAACAGTACATACAGCAGTAACAGACGAAGAACAAGAGAGAATCTTAATGAAGAGAAAAGAAAACAGAAGAGTCAGAAGGAGAATGAGGAATGTGCAAAGAAAGTTAAGGGAGAAAAATGTTTCAAGGAGAGAGAAATCAGTGTTCCATGGGCAGGGTTGAGAAGGATCAGCATTGAGACACAGTCATAGAATTTGGCAAATAGAAGGTTGGTGGTGACCACTAACAACAATTTCAGTAGCTTCTGTGTGTTTGGATATAAGTTTGTCACTATACCTGGATTGTGGAGTTCCTGACTCCAGAAATGTGAGAAATAAATGTTTGTTATTGAAGCCACCCAGTCTGTGGCATTACATTACAGCAACCTGAGCTGATGAAGACACTTTGCATATAGGTACAAACTGAAAATAGATGGAAGCTGACTGTAACTTCACTCGGGGTTGCCTAGAAAGACAGTGGCAAGGGGACATCTTTCTAATGGGCAGAGTTTCTGGCAGGGCTTCAGATCACCCACTTTGTGGCAAGGAGCAGTGGCTTGAAATTAGAGTATGTACAGATTAATGGGTATTTGTAAGTGACTCCACTGGTTGGTCAGGCCCATGAAAGGAAGAATATTGTAAGACTGGGGACAAGATTTGAGAAAGACATGTGGATGGGTATATTAGACAAAAAGTGCAAAGGTTTTTCTAGCCACTATTAACACCTACCAGAAATGATCAATAATGGATGAGAACTTGGAAAGAAATGGAATGACTTGGGAAGTTGACATCAGCAAGTCTTGGTCATCAGTCACTTCAGTGCTAGAGGATTGCCATATGAATAGAAGGGACATGTTTGGAGAGATGGAAATTCATGGGCCCGGACAACAAGTTCCTGTGTATCAAGGCCAAATTAATTACTGCTGCCACTGAACATCCAAACTGCCAACTACAGAGAACAACATGGAGCCTGTGATATGTTGCCATTCTTCAGTAGACCAACCAGCTACTGTGGGCAAGTTCACTCTGGAAGGGTCAAAGATTTATTCCAATAGACATGACATATACTGTGGGAATGGGATATTTCTCACATTCAGGCCTCAATTAGCAGCAGTATGTGAGAGCTTACAAAGTGTCTAATCTACCGTACAGGATCTCCAAAACATGTGTCAGATCACAAAACCCATTTTATAGCAATTAAGGTGTGGAAGAGGGCTTATGTCCATGGGATCTAATAGATCACAGGACAACAAGAAGCTGTCAACCCAACAGAGCACTGGAGAGGTGGAGATAAACTGCCAATGAGGAGGTTATACTTAATGAGGACAGAGCACCATTCCATAGGATGAAAAAGTACATTGAATTAAAGGTATTTATACGGTGCTCTATCTTCAATAGGAAATATTCATTGGTT